CACATGAATACCAAATACAAATATTTTCAAAAAGTTTGTGTAAGAGGTAGTGCAAAACTAGGCAATTCTGTTTATGTGGCAAATGGAAATGGGATCTGGTGGGTCTATGAAGAAGTGGCAGCATAGTTAATTGTTTCACGCTGACATAAGGCTGCAAAAAAGCAGACTAGAGAAATATTTGCCTTATTGTTGCTTTTGTGAAGTGTTGTTATTCTGCTCTTCAGGATTCCAGACCTGCTTAACATAAAATTAATAACACAGTCCTACAGTCTTTTCTACAGAATGGATGAGCAGAGAAGAAGAGTGCAATCTGCATTCCTATATAGCTGAAAGGCTGGGAGACTGCCACGTCCAAGATCCCTCGGCAGATCCACAACAGAGGCAGGAGCTGAGCTAGTGGCAAAAAAGTATACCATTGTATTTGGAAGTGAAGCCTTCTATAGTCTATGGGACATACTTCTAATTAATAAAGTATGTGTTCCTTTAAGTGTATCCTTAATACCCTTGTAGGGGATGGAAAGTGACTTTCAAAGATGAGAACTGTCTTCTGAAGCAACTCATAATCTCCATTTTAAAAACAGTTTCAAATTTCACTTCCTTTTGCAGAAAACAGTAGGAACAGAAATTCTTTTTAGGCTGTGGAAACCAACTGTGAAAATGAATGACTGGGTTGACACATTACATGAAACTGAAGGTGGGCAGTCCTAGGCCATGTGCAACCCCTGAGACTCCAGAATCTGCTCTAGCATGATGGCTTAAAATCAGCACTGTAGTTCTACTTTTGAGACTGTAGTGTGAGCCTGGAAATAAACTTAGCATTGCTACCAAAATGAAGAAAATACCTTCACTCCTCCCCACCCAAGGAAAAACCTAGACAACTTTGGCTATGCTTTGGCTCCTTGTCTTCCCAAATGTGAAGTGCAGCCCCCGGCCACCAGGAAATAAAGTCACTTGAATAGTTTTGGTTTGGCATGTTGTGTGAATCCAGCTGTATGGTTTGTAGATCAAGATTTGTTGAAACATCTTCCTCATGTAGCTGCATTTTCAGTTTATAAAAGTCAGTCTCCATGATGTCTGAGGGTATAAAGATGTCATGCAGTGGTGGTGGGGATGCAAAGTAGTGCTGATTTTTTTTTTCAGCCATTATTTTCCAGTTGTTTGGGGCTTGGCAAAATTTAAATGGTGTAATCCTTTTTTTCATCTTTGGGAGTGAATTTAAAAAACCAGCTAAAATAGATTTTTTTGCAATGTGCGAGTGAGTACTCAGCCTAGCCAAAAAAAAGGGAGGGGGTGGTGAAAGCTGCATATAAAATTTTATTTTATTTTATTTTATCTTATCTTATTTTATTTTATTTTTTTGCCTGTGGGTTGCAGATGACAATCCTGATTTATGGCAAAATGTAATGTGTAATCCAGGTAATTGTGGTTTATATAACCAACTGAATTATCATTTAATAAGATGTTGAATCTGAAACAAAACCACTTGAGCAATCCAGATTAGAACATGAGTGAAAGGGGTTTTGTTTTGTTTTGTTTTGTTTTTGCCAGAGTCCAACCCCTTTGGGGCTAATAGCTGAGTGGTGGATTCATTTGCATCTCTGTTCTTTCGTTCTTTCCACGATCATCCAGTACAAACTGCAATGACGTGAAAATTACGCAACATGCGTCATGATACCCCAGTCTTTTGTACTTGTGTTGCTACATTGCATGCAAGTCTATAGATCACAGGGTTTGTGTCATGCAATGCGCATGTCGTCATTTGCCCTCCTCCTTCCCTTCCATGTGACACCTATACCTCCTTCCTTCCCTGCCCAGCAGGCTGCTAAGAAAAGAACAAATTACTTTTAGCAATGGTTTTGAAACCATTCTTCCTCCTCTCCTGGATTCTTTCCACCCCAATGAAATAAGGCGGAGTGCTGCCTGCAGCCGAGGAGCCAAAGGATGCCCATCTCTGTTGTAAGGGCTGAGAACAATTAGAATAGATGTGATTGTCATGCTATTTTTAAAAAACTAAATCCTTTGAAGTAATACTAAACAGATGTTCCAGGCTAAAATATGCTTGCTGTCTTTCCCCTTCAGAAGCACTCTTATTTCTGTCTAGTGGCTGTCTAGTGGGGGAGGGGGTCTGTAAGTTTACCAGAGGCGCATACATCTTTTCTTTGCAAAATACTCTGCCAGGTGCTCACTTCTCGGTTCCCTGTTTCTTGTGTTGGGAGCTGTTTGTGTTGTTTTGGTTCAGTTACTGTTGACGGAGCATGTGCAAAGGGAGAAAGATGCTTCATTTAAAAATTTACAACCAGTTACCATTCAGGGCAATCTGATTAAATGGCAATTGTGTGAATAACTTGTTTACACTTCAGCTGTTCCTGCAAAATGCAGTCCAAGGATAAAAATCTCATTCTCTTTTTCTCCAAATTCTCTTCCTGAAGTAGGTCAGTTGCATACTATTTTAAAAACTATGTTGTGCCACTGCAAGAGCATATGGTTCCAATATAGGCCTAAGCTCTAGGCATTATCTTATTCCAGTTATTTTTCATCAGTGCCAGTTTTTTGGCTTTTTCAGTATTGTTTTGGCAGGGGTAGTACAAACTCTGTTAGGGGTAGTTGGGGAGTGCTGAATTTCCCCCCCTGCTTGGAATTGTTTTGTGGCTTTATTTCATTATATTGTCACCTCTGTTTCTCTTTATCCAGACAAATCCCAACAGCACAACACAGTATGCACTGTTGGGTTTAGTGTTTTAACTGCTGCTCATGAACTCCTTCCACATAAAAGCTTCATGGCAAAGATTTAGCCATGTCTCTGGAACATCTAAAACAAGAATAGGTTGGATTCAGACTTAATTGTGCTTTCCCTCCATCATCATCAAGTCAACCTTTGTACACTTACGGGTATGGTCAAAACTCATAAGTGTTTCCAGGTGACATAGATGTCTTCTTACCCAGGGGCAGAAGGTCTTTCAGGAATTTGTCTCTTAACCAAGGCATTGGATTTTGTGACCAAACCAGTGTAATTTCCAAGAAAAAGTGCAGTATTTTACCTTATAATTTCTGAAATGTCTGCTAAGACATGGCTGTAGAATCCATGCTAACTCCTACTTAGGCCAAGATCAGAGACAACATATTGAATGATCAAGCTTTAAGATCATGGTTTATTTGTGGAGTGCAAATTCAACACCTCTTTTTATAACAAAAATGGATGCAACCCTTGAACATAAGATGACATGCAGCCCCAAGATTTCAAAGTGGCTTTCAGAACCTTGCAAAAATGTCTGTCAAATTTTAATTTTTAGGGAGACCAGGGCGGGGTGGGGGGAAATGATCAAATACATAGAAAGTAATCATATTAATTGTATTTAATGTAATTGTATTTAATTGTATTTTAGCTTCAATTATAAATTCAGATTTAGTTGTTTGTCCTGGTCTCTTCCAATTTTGGGAATGTCTGATATGCACTCAAAGGCCAAGTATGATCCTTGGCCTGAAAAAGGATGTGTTCTTTTGTATTAGTGATTGTATTTCTCCTTGGCCTTTTTCTAAAAGTAGGGTAAGGCAAAGATAAAGGTAAGTGTTAGACAGGAGGATAAAGAATAGCCACCTCTCAGTGGTACCAGCTTAAATAGTCTCTAGATAGAAGATTCAGCTCTGTAGTTCTTAGTCACAGAAGTTCAAAGTTTTTTTTTAAACACACATACTTGGGCAAATGTTCAGTCTTTAGAATAAGGTTTCTGGTAGTTGGAAGGTGGAAATTCTGAAGTACAGAATTACACTGTAATACTTTTGTTCCAACTGAAATGAAGAACTGAAAGGGAATCCTCTTCACTGGAGTGCTTTTTTTTTTTTTTTAACTAAAAATCCTACCAGGAAGGTTTCAAGTGATGATTCCTGCTTCAGTCCTGCTTTGTACCTGCAGAAAGGCCATGAGTGACAGTAGTTTTGAATCATATCACTACAACTGATTCATGCTATAATGTCTTTAGAAATGTGTCTAGAAGTCACATGTGCTTCCTTCACAGCTCAATTTTAAAAGCAGTAGGTACAATATAGTAGTAAAAAGTTGCATTATACCCTTTTCTATTTGCACATGTGACTTGGTCCCTTCACCCCAAAAGCTGGGATGGAGACAAGGTAGAGAGTGATTTGATGGGGGACTTTCAGGGGCCACATCAAATTTCCTTATGGACCATATGCAGATTACAAATTGTGTACTTATATCTTAATCTAATTAGATTTTTCAGCATTTTATAATGATAGCAAGATTTTGTTGATACATTGTAGTGGAAAGTAATTTACAGCTTTAGTTGATTGGTCTCCTAGTGGGGACCAAGTTTTGTTGGTAAAGCCGCAAAAAATTAACTTTTTAGGCTTTGTAGTTCTGAGAGACTTTTAGTTTTGAGAAGTAAACAGAAACAAAAATCTTTAAATTTCACTACCTCAAAATAATGATAAAAACAGCTGATTCCTTCTAGCCAGCTCTATAAATTCAGAATTGATCTATAAATTGACAGCTCTAGCATTAGCTCAGGATGAAGTGGGTTGAAATGATTCACTAAACTCATGGATTAGTGTCTGTACTTGTTGTAAAACAGCTCACAGTAAATGTCTGGGCTTGTGGTAAAACACTCAAATGAGGCTTTACTTTATAAAAATGGCAGTCTGGATGATTTCAACCTACTGCCACAAATGTGAATGATTTCATTGTTGTAAAGCAAACCTTCTGACTAAGAGAAATGTGTAATGCTTATATAAAGTAAACACTTAGATCTGTTGTTTGCAAAACTCTACCATGGGAACACCTTTGTATCTGCTGATGTTCTCCTTTAGCAACATGTTTTATTGTTTCCTTGCTGGGAGTTTAATGGAGACAGTTTCTCTGTACATTCAAACCAATGTAAAATTAAAACTGTTCTGTATTTGCAGGATTATAAAACTACTTCTCCCTGTCTCTAATCCCTCTTCTGCTTTTCTTGTTCCTCTGCTGCTTCTTTTCTTGGCCTCTGAAGTTTGGATGTCGAGCTTATCTGATTCTCCAAAGAAGGCTATAGCAGGTATTGCATTATTTCTCTGTGTAAAATTGTGCTTGCTCTTTCTGGGAATGTTACAGTGATCCAGAAGAAAATTAAATAGTGCTTATGGGGAGATCCTAGCAGGATTATATGAAGGTGGTATATGTAATAATTATCATTGTCATTAGCTGTATTTGCCCAAGAGTAATAATAATCATAATAAGGAAAATACTAGTCTGCCTTTTAAACTGAAAGGGTTGTCTTACCAAACATACAGCAGAAGAGGCAGATAGATTTTTTTATGTGTGTGTTGTGGAGAGGGGAAATCATCTTAAATTCAGACTAATCTCCCTTTTGGATAAAGGTGACTATGCTGCTCGATAACAGTACTGTCCATATAATTTATAAACAAGAACACATTTTTAAAAAATAGTAATAGCAGAAAGTCACTTAGCCAAAGAGAACATGTAGATAATATTTTTCAAAAGCAAATAGCAGATCTTTTAAAAAGATATAAAATGATAGTGATTGGAGATATGAATTATTCCAACATATGTAAGGAGAAAAGTCTACTTCCCAAAAATTCTATGACTTGTCTTGAAGATTTTCTTCAGACAGTAAAGAAGGCACAAGGAATCAGCTATCCTTGACTTGAACCTAACCAATAGGGAAGACTTAGTAGACAAAATGAAAGTAGCAGAAGCTTTGAGAGGAGGAGACCAATGCTGGAATTCTTGATTATAAGAAAAACTAAAGCTCTGTGTGTGCCCGTACACCTTTGACTCATTGTTGACTGGCAACTGCCTGGACAAGTCCCTATGGTTTTCTTGGCAAAATTTTGAAAGTGGTTTGCTATTGCCTGTTTCCTAGGGCTGAGAGAGAGGGACTGGCCCAAGGTCACCCAGCTGGCTTTGTGCCTAAGGCGGGACTAGAACTCATAGTCTCCCAGTTTCTAGGTCAGTGCCGTAACCTCTACACCAAACTGGCTCTCACAAAACTGTGTAGTCAAAGCATATCTTATATTATCATAAAGCAGATTTCAGTAAATTCAGAACAACAATAAGTTGGATTCATTGGCAAGAGAAGCTAAGGGGAATAGGAGTGCAAGATATGTTGTATTCCTAAAAAAAAAAAAAAAGATGCTGAAAACAGCAGAAGAATCCATAGTGGTTGCATGACAATTAAGTGGATACATGACTGACTGACTGACGGCCATCATGTCAGTGACAACTCTTAATGACCACATAGATAGGTTTCCTCCACAAAGATCTCTCCCTGACCTGGTCTTCTAATGGTGTAGCCATTGCAACGGTAACTGTGTCCATCCACTTTGCTGCTGGCCATCCTCTTCTCTTTCCTTCCAGATTTCCCAGCATTAAAGCCTTTTCTAGAGAGCTAGGTCTTCGCATAATGTGTCCAAAGTAGGACAATTTAAGCCTAGTCATTTGTGCCTTGAGTGAGAATTCTGGGTTGATTTGTTTGATGACCCATTGGTTTGTCCATGGTATTCTCAGGAGTCTTCTCTAACACCAAAGTTCAAAAGCGTCAATACTTTTCTTATCCTGCTTCTTCAAAGTCCATGAAAATTGTACCCAGGGGGTTTTCATCAAACTGAAGAGAAGTACTGAGTTAGGTGCCACAAATACTTGTCTCTTTCACTTACTACATTGTTGAATTTTCTCCCCTTTCCTATTAAGTTGTTCTTTTCCTCCCTCTTTTCTTTTTAATGTTTTGGATAGGATGGTAAAAGCATCTCTCACTCATCAGTTTGTTTCTGACAAAACAGTTGGATGTTAAGTCAATTTTAATTAGTTCTTAAACAATTCTTAAGCATTTGTACAGTGGTCCATCTTAATGTTTTTTAATATGTTATTTTATGTTAAAATTTTATTTTACTTTAATTGTCATACTAAAGGAACCAAGTATCAAATATAAATAACTTGTGACTTTAATTATAGCAGTGTCGATACCCTGCATTGTGTAGTGACTTAAAATTTTCCTCAGTTTCATAGGACATTTCCTGAGAAAGGTAGCTTAAAGAGATTGCACATATCTCCAGCATGGCACAATTATATTCTAACCATTATAAAGGAGGAAAAAAATCCTAATGTTCATGCATATTTAGGAATGCAATGCAACAGGGCAGTGGGGTGATTAGAAAGAGCTCCCACATGGTCTCCTCACTCTCCTTGTATGGCATGTTATGCCTTATCTAGAAGGGGCTTGTGTGGGAAGAAGGGCTTCTAAAGATTGGCAGGCTGGAAAAGGCTACTGAGTAGAGAAGGCTGCTAAAAGCTATCAGTTTATCATTGGGAGGTGAGCATTTAAGGGCACTGAAAAAGCTGAAGAACTGGAGTTCTGCAGTGATTTCCAGGGCTAGGGAAGAAGATCCAGAAAATATTCCAGTGAAATAGGAACCAAACAGTAACAGAAAAGAGTTTGGCTGGAGGATCAGCTAGCACAAAACTCAGGAGCAACAGCAGTGGAGCTGGTCTGTTTGGTTAGCAGGTCAGCTGGGGAATGGAAACTTTGGCCAATGGTGGGTTTAGGAAACAGTGAGGCAGAGATGCATTAGCCAGCAAAGCAGCACTGGTAGAATTCTTGGGCAACTGGAGAGCTTGTGGGTGGCTGTAAAAAAAGGAGTCTTTTATTTTCCCTCTGCCCAGAAGCAGCACCAGTCCTCTCATTAATATGGGGTGAGGTTAGATCAGCGTTTCTCAACCTTGGCCACTTGAAGATGTGTGGACTTCAACTCCCAGAAGTGGCCAAGGTTGAGAAACACTGGGTTAGATGAATTTAGGCAGATGCTTAGAATGGCATGTTTAGCTACATATCAAATTCCCCAATTAAGAAATTACCAGTGTGGGAGTACTTGTAGTCTGTGGTTTCTGAACTGGATCCAGTATTTGTCTGAAAGGGTGTTAAACCTATGCCCGAAAATACCCTAGTTGACAAGATACAAGTGTGCAGGAGAGGTACAGAGTGAAATGGGAGGGAGCAGTCAATGGCAAACAAATCTGTCCTTAAACACAGCTACATGACATTCTTTGTGGGCAGAAGTAGTGGAAAACCTGTAATGTTGATAACATAGCAACAACACACTCCTGGTAGAAATTTGCCCTCTTTCCCCCATCTAAATTAATCTTCTGTGGTGTTTGAGGAGATAGGCTTGTTTTCTACACACAGCTCTATTGCTCTTTTTAAAAGAGATTTAAGCCATGTTTATAAGAGCTCCAGACAGTTCCTGAGAAGCACTTTTGAAAGTGCCAGTCTGGCATTATTTGAGCAGAAGTGACTGTAGAACTAGGTGTCCAGTCTCTCTTCCAGCTAAGTCAAAATGGCCATGGAGGGCATTTCCCAGTGACTGGAAGGGAGGGGTGTGCCCATAGCAGCCTAAAGTGATGAATAGGAACTGGATAGATGCCAGTCTGTGATCTACATTGGCAGTGAAGTGTGTTATATTATATCAAAGGCAAACATGTTGGGGGAAGAGAGAAACAACTACTTTAAAACTGGAACTGGTTATGCACTGGGGATGAAACAAAAGCATTGTCATGAGGACATGAGAAAAAAAAATTAGGGTATGCTCATACCATAGTTAGGGGGATGTGAGGAAAAACTGTTTGACTAGGAAGGAGAGACTCTGCATTGGCCGGAGGAAGACCTCCATCTTTCAAGTTAGTGCTTAGTTCCTCTTCTTTATAATTGTAAAGGACAAAAAAATTCCTCTCTCTGTGTAAAGTCTAGTAATACCATTGCTAATTGTTGAGCCTAATTATTCCAGACAAATTGCTCCACAAACTGTAAGCCTTCACAGACCTGTTATTGCTCAGTCTTGGGTAGCTGAATGCCACTTGTATCTCTAGATCATACAAATAAAATAAAGTTGCATAATTTTGCAAAATACACAGCTCAAAATTAGAAGAATTGAAATGAAGAATTTGGAAGAGGTATTTAGTAGACTGCTTCTCTGAATCAAGTTGTAGTAACTGGAATATGTTGAGCAAATCCTAATTTTGTTCTTTAGTCAGGAACAAACTGATCTGCTATGTTGACTCCAATATTGTTTACAGTGATATTATCAAATGATTCATTTTCTTCTTGTAAATCTGTTATTGCTTAATATTTCAGTTTTAAGTTGTGCTAGGAATTACTGCTTTTCCCCACCCTTTCCAGTGCTGCTTAAGTATCAAATGCAGGCAGTCCTGGGATACAAATTGTGCACAATGGCAGCCACATGGTTGCACCCCTTGTGTAAAGTTGAGTTTATGTAAATTGGGGCTTGCATAACTCAGGGACTGCTTGTACTGTCCATTGTGAAAGAGAAACCTAGAAATGGGTCAACGTGAAAAGGTAACAGTCCCATTAAATGGAGGGAGGCATGAATATTCGTCTGTGGGGTTCAAAAATAATTAAGGGCTTTTGAACATTACTTCAAGAACTTGCAACAGCTCAAGGGCTTTTACAAATATAGGGAGGTTTACAGAACTCCATTGTGCTTCCTGAAAATTCTATGCTAACCCTGAGCTCAGTAGGCCTGCACTGTGCTGCATACCCCAAAAGACTTGTTCAGCAGTTGGTCAGAGTTCAAACAATTTCAGCTGCTTTTGGATCTTCAACTTATTTATATTTTTATTTATATAAAAGCATCTAAAGGCTAAAGATACTTACAACAATATTGTCTCCATCATCTTAGGTTGGAAATGCAGTGAATCTCATATTGCTTTGGGCAAGGGAAAATAGAACTAGCCAAGGATGGGCCCATCAGAACTAAAACGGGGTCCCTGCTCTTGATTTGGTTTTGCTTGCAATCAGTTGAGCAAGGATGCTTTTATGTTTCAGCATCCACAGCTTTGTAAGTGCACTTCTCTCCCTCTCCCTCATATATTCCGAATATTTTGTACTGGCCCTACTGTGTTTTTGGTATGTAGTTTCTGGCACATCTACCTATATGCACACACATACATATACAAACACATTTCTTGCAGAAGGCTAGATGAAATCTCTGACTAGAATAGGCAACAGTAGGTTGATAATATAGA